TGTCTTTGGTGCAGCGCCTACAAAGATAAGAGATACACTCTGCTTTTATTAAGGAGACCATAGTTTTGTGGGAGAGTCCAAGGGTCCACACAATGTTGAGCACATAATAGGTTCTCAATAAATAGTTGCTGAATACATGTTTTGGTTAGGTATGGGGATGAATAGCGAAAGTGTGTGGAGTGTATGTAGCAAGTGCTATGATAGGGCAGGATAGGACATGCAGAGACACTTGGACTTCTGCTGAAGGTTTCTGTAAGCGTGACCGTCAAGTCACATTTGGGAGGAATTATATAGAGAAGAAAGGTTAGGAGGATGGGAACTTACAGAAAATAACATGTGCAGAGACAGGAAGCTGAGAAAGAGCAGGGTGAATTTACAGAATTGGATTTTCAGTATCCAGGGCATTGTGTTGAAAGAGGAGAACAAAGATTAGTAAGGGGACTTCAGGAAAGCCATATATGCTCACCAAGAAATGCTTGTGTTCTTGTATAGACACTGGATCTCAAACACAGCATTGTTATAACACAGTAGAGAAAATAATGGTTAATACTTATTAAATGCTTACTATATACTAAATGTTTTACATATATTAATTTTTTAAACCTCATCTATCCTCCTGAGATGGGAATTACTATTAGCTCATTTTAAGGACTAGACAAGTGAAATACAGTGAAATCAAGTAACTGACTTGAGATAATAGAGCTGGGATTTAAACCCAATGATCTGGCTCCAAAACCCACACTCCTACCACTTTAGTATATTGCCTCTTAATGCAGTGTCAAATTTTGTGTAATGTGCTATTAATAATGATATTTGAAGTATCTAAGTTGAAAAATTATTATTTTTGTGATAATACATCTCTCATTCACTTTCAAATATAATTTCTCAAGTTGGAAAAAAGAAGTATAGGAAGGGGGGGGGACTAGGAATTATATATAATTCTGAGACATTTATGAGAATGTGTTATACAAGTAGCAGTCTTCCATCCTGGGTAGCATTAGGGTGAAAACGTTTGGAAGACTAGAGACCCAGTGCACAAATTTGTGCACATTGAAAGAAAATTAATTAGAAGAAAGGTGTTAATGTTGCTCTCTGCCCTTTCTCTATAATAGAAGTGTCAACCAAATTCACAATTGACAATGACAAATGGAAACACACACGTGTGATTGGCGTCAGCAAGAGCTTTATATATATATAGATAAACTTGCTTAATTAGACCTGCTTTCTGATTCAGCTAAACTTTTTCTAGCCCAGTGAAGCACCCCAACTTATCTTTCAAGTTAATGTCAGCAACACAGCAGTAAATATCAACACAAAGCAGATTATATTGTAGATCACCCAGGGAGAACAAAGGATGAAATATTTAACTGTAGCAGGGTTTGACTATATTCTTCTCAGTGAGAAAGCCTGAAGTCATTTTCAAGTTCCACCATTTCTTACTTCTTTTTAGTTGGGTCAAGTTTCTAAACTTTCTAAATCTCTGTTTTCTGGCTAATGAAAAGAAAATAGGATTCTACCGAGTCTCCTATCTACTTACTCCAGGACTTCTGTGAAGATCAAATGAGATGAGGCATGTGAAAACACTTCACAGACATTTGGTTAAAGTGTAAAGTGGCTATAAAGCAAGTTGTGTTCCTGGGCTAAAGAAACTGCAAGGACTAGTTGCTAGGGAGAGGAAACTGGGTGTTGCTACATGACGTCATTACCCGGCACCCACAGTGACCATTTCTGGGCTGGGCTGGGCTGGGCTATGGGGCACATTTTGTGCCATGGAGTCTTAGCAGCATTGGCTGTGATTCGGTGAGCTGTCGCTCTGGGGTGGTGGGGGGCATGTGTCCCAATTGGGGAAGCTGAGTGTTGCTTTGTTGGCGTCAGGTCCGCAGTGCAGTTCCTTTGTAAATGGCCAGTGAGCGTCATGGCAGATCCTGCATTAAGCATCTGCCCTCTGGTGGTCAGTGCGTCCAGGGAGAACAAAGGATGAAATATTTAACTGTAGCAGGGTTTGACTATATTCTTCTCAGTGAGAAAGCCTGAAGTCATTTTCAAGTTCCACCATTTCTTACTTCTTTTTAGTTGGGTCAAGTTTCTAAACTTTCTAAATCTCCATTTTCCGGCTAATGAAAAGAAAATAGGATTCTACCGAGTCTCCTATCTACTTACTCCAGGACTTCTGTGAGGATCAAATGAGATGAGGCATGTGAAAA